CTACTCGAGATTCTCCTGTTTATACACTCCAAGATTACATTAGTTCTTTCAACTACATTGTCACATTGGCAGTTCGTCTTTGTGAGGGATCATGGGTCCCCAAACAATGCTCAGACTCTAACTGCCACCTGGAAGGTTACCCAAACCAATGGAGCAGAGGACTAGCAAACCTCTAGCTTACGAAGATGCCCATCCAGTCCCATCAGTTGGCTGGGATACACTACATAAGCCAGAAGGAAGGCACATGAAGTTGTCTGAACAGCTAGGTGAAACCCTGGCTGCTACTTTGGATCTTGCCTAATTCTTCGACTTCTGAGTCTTGTTTCCCAGACTGTTCTGAGTTCCTGCCCACCTTATTCCAGATCCCTGTCTGTTTCTGATGTGCGTCCTGCCTTGCCTTAGGTCTTTGCTTCTACACCCTATCCCTGATACTGACTCCGGCTGTGGTTCCTGGCATGATTTCTGACTCTGACCCTGGCTCCAGTTCTTGGCTCCTGACCATAATCGTTAGGCTTGGTGATTTACACCTCGGTCCCTACAATGTTCAGTTGATTATCCACAACTCCAAAAAATTTTTCAGAGTCACTGCTACCCAGGATAGAATCCTTCATTCTGTAAGAGTGACCTACATTCATTGTGTCTAGATGTATATGATTACATTTATCTGGATTAGAACACGCAGTGTATGTTTTGTGCCTACTTTACCAAACATTATCTCTGTAAACTTCATCAGTGAGGATTTTGCTTTCTTTTATGCCACCAATGGCATAGGTCCAAGAACTGATTTCTGAAGGACCCCACTAGAAACACTCCCACTGTTTACAATTACATTGTTAGACCTGCCAATTAGCCAGTTTTTAATCCATTCAATGTGCGCCATGTTAATATTATATCTTTCTAATTCTAATAAAAATATTGTATGCTACCAACTCAAACACCTTACAAAAGTCTAAGTATAATATATTGTAATGGGTTTGATTCATTGCTGTGGTGCCTCCTGCTGGTCAATCTGAGAATTAGCTCTTCCAGTCTCGGAGAACCTTCTTTTGGCTGATGTAACACCCACGGTTACCTGTCCTTTCCCCTGTTCTCTGCCATGTTGGGTCAGGCCCTAAGTCCCTCCCAGACCTTGGTGCCCCTTCCCCTGGTACTGCCCGGCAGCAGTGCCTACACTCTGGGGTCCTCCCCTCCTGGGGAACCACATTATCCCTAAGCAACCACTTGCCTCAGTAACGCCCTTCAACATCTAGCCCCCAGTCTGAACTGATCACTTCATCATTGGCAACAGGGTCTGGACTTGCTGCCTACTCAGTCTCTGACTGTTCCTCTGCAGCCCTAGTATCTCTCTGGGCCTCAGTCAGGGGTTTATTCAGGTTGGAGCTCCCTTGGGTTGCTCTCCCTTTCCCCAGTCCTGCTCTGTCAAAGGAATCCCTGCTAGCAGGTAGCTTGACCCCTCTCCCTCCAGAGCTCGAGCAAGAGAGTGAGCATCTCTTCTCCAGGAGGCTTTCTTATAGGGCCCAGCCTGGCCCTGATTGGCAGCCTCAAGCCTGACTGTGATTGACTCCTAGCCCTAGCCCCCCCTCTCAGGGCTGTTTTAACCCCTTATATGCCAGTGAGTGGCAACTGCTCCATCACACACAAACTCTTTATCTCAACCAAACTCAAGGTCTCAGCAAATTAGTTTGACTGGTTTTATTTTCCATATACATATGTTGATTGGTATTAATGATTTTACCCTCTGTCAGGCAGGGGCGGCCCGTGACTATAGGTGGACTTGGCCGCCGCCTAGGGTGCCACCTTCAATGGGGCACCCGATGATGACGTCACGGGGCACCCGATGATGATGTCAGTCCATTGACGGCCCTGTAGGCGGGGGCGCTAATCGCGCATTCCGCCTGGGGCGCCAGCTGCCGCAGCCCACCTCAGACCACTCCTGCTGTCAGGAATGTTCCCCACTTTGGTACTCCAAATGAAGAAGGTGGGGGCCTGCAAAAGAGCTTCAAAACCTTTCCTCTACAGGCACTGGTTACAAGCCCCCCTGCCCCAAATCATAATTCACAGATTTTGGGGAACTGCTGCCACCACCAAGTGCTTTTTCCCTAAAACTGGGGGTGAACACTTGAAATCATCCCATGGGGTACCCCAAGCTCTTTTGCCCCAAAAGAGCTTGCAAAAACAAAAAGAGAAAAACAAGCTGTAGTCTCTGGTAGCTGACCCCTCAATCAGAGTCATGAAGATATACACAGATAGACCTTCCAGGACACAAGAATCAAATCATCACCTTAAAAGAAGTGATTTTTACTACAAAACAAAAGATAAGCTTGATAAAGCATACTTGGTTGCTGGATGTTAAAGACCAACTGAGGAAACCGAATTAAAAAGAGAAAAAAACTCTGGCACAATGCTTAGATGGTAAGGGAGGAGGGGAGGCATAGATTCACAAAGAGCAGTTCAAACCAAACCACAAAATAAAGAAAAATTATCCTGAACGTGACTGGATTCACATTTCCCTGGTACTCACTTCTAATTTTCTGTTCAGTCTGCTCCCATGCCCTGAATTTCATGGGGGGCATGGTAGTCCTGCCTGGGTTTAATCATTCTGTCTCTCTCAACTCCTGGTTTAACTCTCCCACTCAAAGAAAGCAGGCAAGGAACATATCCAATTCAAATTTCAACCCTCTATCTTGATTGGCTCTCCCAGCCCGCTGGCCAACATCTTTGCTAGGTACCCGAGTTTAACCCTTAGGCTATGTCTAGACTGGGGCTTTTTTGCGCAAAACAATACCGCGTTGTCTACACTGGCCCTCTTGCGCAAAAGCATTTGCGCAAGAGGGCTTTTGCCCGAATGGGAGCAGCATAGTATTTCCGCAAGAACACTGACAATCTTACATGAGATCGTCAGTGTTCTTGCGGAAATTCAAGCGGCCAGTGTAGACAGAAGTCTAGACGCAGCTTCTTTCAGAAGCAGCTTTTCCAGAAGAGATCTTCCAAAAAAATTTCTCCAGAAAGAGCATCTACACAGCAAAAGCGCATCAAAAAAACTATTTGCTTTTTTCAAAAGATAGCGTTCTCTATCTCGCATTTAAGCTGTGATTACTATGGACAGAGTGGCCACCAGGGCACCTGTGCTTTTTCTTCTTTTCTCTTCTTTCAAAAGAGCTCCCTCTTTCCCGTCCACATATTCCTTTTTCTGAAAGAGCTCTTTTGAAAAAAAAAAAAAGGCTTCTTCCTCATAGAAAGAGGTTTACCAATGTTGGAAAAACCCCTCTGTTCTTTCAATTTTTTTCAAAAGAATGTGATTGCAGTGTGGATATAAGTGAAGTTTTTTTTTGTAAATGGCATTTTTTCCAAAAAAAAACTCTGCAGTGTAGACATACCCTTAGTTACCAGGTGCTGGTCAGCACTGCTCCTCCTGTTCATGACATCCTTCTTTAACCACTGGGACTTTTCTGCATGGAAAAGAGGAGACTAAGGGGGGATATGATAGAGGTTTATAAAATCATGAGTGGTGTGGAGAAAGTGAATAAGGAAAAGTTATTTACTTGTTCCCATAATGTAAGAACTAGGGGCCACCAAATGAAATTAATGGGCAACAGATTTAAAACAAATAAAAGGAAGTTTTTCTTCACACAGTGCATAGTCAACCTGTGGAACTCCTTGCCTGAGAAGATTGTCAAGGCTAGGACTATAACAGGGTTTAAAAGAGAACTAGATACATTCCTGGAGGTTAAGTCCATTAACCAGTATGGGTAAGGAATGGTGTCCCTAGCCTCTGTTTGTCAGAGGGTGGACATGGATGGCAGGAGAGAGATCTCTTGATCATTAACTGTTTGGTTCACTCCCTCTGGGGCCCCTGGCATTGGCCACTGTCGGCAGACAAGATACTGGGCTGGATGGACCTTTGGTCTGATTCAGTATGGCCATTCTTATGTTCTTAATATCAACTTAATTCTATATTATCCACTCATTATCTTGTCTGCGATCGATGTCAGGGTGATAGACTTATAACTTCCTGGGTCGTCTCATTTATCCCTTTAAAATACTGGTAGAACATTAGCTTTCTTTCAGCCTTCTGGAACTTTCCCAGTGTTCCAAGGCTTATTGAAAATCAACACAAATGGTCCAGTAAGCTTCACAGCCAGCTCTTTTAAAACGCATTGATGCAAGTTATCTGGACCTGCTGATTTAAAAATGTCTTGTTTTAGTGGCTTTTATTTAACATTTTCCTGAATGGAAATATTGTTATCAGATGATGAAACATCATCTTTTTTCCACTAATACAGAATAGATATACTTACTGAAAATGTCTGCATTTTCTGGAGTATTATAGAAAATTGTATCATGCTTATCTAGTAATGAACTAATATCATTGTCAGGATCTTTTTGTTCCTAATATACTTAAAAACAAAAACAAAACCCAACTCCTCTGACAGAATATTAGAGAGAAATCCTAGTGGAAAGCCTAGTGGAGCAGACTCTTAAGGAGTACAGGCAGTCCCCGGGTTACATGGATCCGACTTACATCGGATCCCTACTTACAAACGGGGTGAGGCAACCCCACACTAGCTGCTTCCCCCCAGCAGACCAGGGAGACGCGGAGCAGCTTTTCTCAGCAGACACCTCAGCTTGAGAATAAAGGACTGAGGGAAGTGAGGTGTGGGAGAATAAAACTGAGCTCTGGAGAAATGTTTGGCTAGAGTTTCCCCTACAATATGTACCAGTTCTGACTTACATACAAATTCAACTTAAGAACAAACCTACAGTCCCTATCTTGTACGTAATCCGGGGACTGCCTGTAGTAGTGTGTATATTCTTATCACCCAAGGGAAAAAATGTGATTTTTAGAAATTGCGTTAGGTAATATAATTTAGCTTAGTATCATCTGTATCTTAGTACCAATTATAGAGAGAGTTTTAAATCTTTAAAATGTGTTAGATGGCCATGCTCCACCATAGACTGTTTCAAGTACAAATCAACATGAGACAGAGACAAAAACAGCTGTCAAATTCCCTGTGAATTTAAACCACTGATTCACACAGACTCAATTCAGCTGTTCCTTACTCTTGGGTTGGTAAGTGAAGATATCACTTGAAACGATTATTGCCCTGCATTGGAAAATACAAATTCCCGTTAGAAACATGATAGAATTAATTTCATATGCACATAACGCAGAGAAACGTTGGTACAGCTCTTTGGGTCACATAAACATAAATGTGGCTCCCAGGATGTAATAAGATATGTAACCATTCGTATATTAGCTCTTGGTTCAAATCCAGGCCAGATAGCAGGCAGTGTGACTGAAAATTATTACTAACTGCTGGCTGCTCATGGGCTTAGGTGAAATGATTCGGTGTGCTCAATGCAGTTCTTACAAGAGGGCCTTCCTATTTCAAATTGCACTAATTAGCTATAACAACAGATCAGCAGAGGAGTAAACAGACTTTGGGTAGGTCTTTACTGGGAAGTTTCTGTACAGCAAAACAGTTTGCTATGATGAAGCACACACCGCCAGCCACCTTGTACACAGAAACTGTGCGGTTGTAGTGCTGTAAAGCAACCACCCAGCTGAGAGGTATACAGCTTTCTGTGCTGGGGCTACTGTGCTGTGGTGCCAGTGTCAGTTTCAGCGCTGCAACAGGCTGTTCTGTGGGACAGTTGCCCAGAGTGCACTGCTCTGAATGTTGTTGCAAGCACCACAAGTGTGAACATGTTATTGCGCAGGCATCTGAGAAGTATGAATAGGGGACCCAACAGCCATCTGGGGCCCCTGGGCAAGGTATGTGTGTCTGTGGGACCAGCTCCATGCTCTTGGAAGGGGCAGGGACTGGGCAGCCGGGCTCCAGCACCACCCGGAGCGCATCACCCTCCACACACCCACTCTTAGAGCTGTTTGGAGCATAGAGTGTGGGGCTCCAATAGTGACTTAAAGAGCCCAGGCTCCAACTGCCACTGCCTTTTGAATCGCCAGACTCTGTGGCAGTTGCCCTCCTTGTCCCCCTGAATATAAACATACAACAGCAATTTCCCCTTCAGTGCTCACTGAGCAGTGATGTAATTGCCTGTACGGAAACTCTGCCAGTGTAGATATGCCCTTAAAGACCAAATTACACTTTCAATCCTAGAGCTAGACGCTCCAGGTCACAACTGAGATGTGGGGCAGCTTATGTTGCTACAGCCCATGGTGCAATCTATTCTATAAAGAGGGTTTGATATTTCAGAAATAGATTATTTAATTTCTTTCAGGTTTATCTGTGCAGTATTTTTGGGCCCATTGCATGCAGTTTTTAACACGCAATTAAAGAAAGTAAAGAAATGTTGCTTGTGTGCTGAGTATCAAAGATCAGAAAGAGCAAAAATACAGTACAGCCAATGACAATTGCCATACAGAGACAACATAAAAGCAGAGCTTTTTATGGGGAATTCTCTTTGATTTAAAGTCACAAGCTGACAATAAGATAATACCAAGGTAAGATTTTTTAAGAGACTTCTTCTTGGGAGTCCGTCTCTCCTTTGTATACAAAAGATAAGGATTAGCTCCAGAAGAGGGCTCATGACTGTGAATCCCAAGTGAAGATGCATCTGACGAAGTGGGTCTTTGCCCACGAAAGCTTATGCTCCTACACTTCAGTTAGTCTATAAGGTGCCACAGGACTCCTCGTCGCTTTTGCAGATTCAGACTAACACGGCTACCCCTCTGATAAAAGATAGAGGGAAGATCTCTTCCGCAAAAAGCTTCTTGAACAAAAACCCTGCAGTGTAGACAAAGCCGAAGTGGCCACAGTTTGCTGTTGCTGGCCAATGGAAGCTGTAGGAAGTGTTTCTCGCAGGCAAAGGGGCTGCAGGGACATGCTAGCCGCAGCTTCTCACAGGTCACATTGGCCAGGAATGGTGAACCACGGCCACTGGGAGCTGTAGATGGTTAATGTCAGCAAAATGTCAGTGGATTACCCTGGTGGGCTAAGACACAAAGGTGGGCCATCCCTGTTCTCAACACATCTGATCTTATTTTGATTTTAATTTTGTTCTTCTCCTTTGGCTGTTAGGCTCTTTTCCACCTCTAGGGCTTTCTCTCTTTTTATCGTTTCCAGGCTTTTGTCTTATTTCCTCCTTTTCCTTTGCTGGTTTCTCTCTCCATGTCCAGTGTGCCCTCATCCCTCAATCACTGGTGGGACATTTCCTCTCTCTATTTCTTTGCTGTGTCCCACTCTGCTCCTTGGAGCATCTCTGTTCTACTTAGCTTGTCCCCCGTTGCACTCTCCTCAAAATAATGGGCCTGATTTTCATTTATATTAAAGCAGCTTAAATTGCTCTGCTCATACCCATTTTAAGGCCTCTTTAATCTGCCAGAGTAAAGGATCTTGGTGTGAAGGAAAAATCAAGGCTACTATGGTCATTATCTGCCTTTTGAAATGACCCATGATACTTGCTTCTCTTTCTGAAAGAGGTGCTATCAGTGATATTATAGAGGATGGATGTTCTTGTTGCTAAATCATAAAACAGTCTTAGGGCATTTCAACCATCTTCCCCCAATTACTTCCTATAAGATCTTATGCCTTAGTTTTCCCCTTTCTAAAATATGCTTGCCTGACAGCGGTCTTGTAAAGATTAATTCATTGCTATTTGTATAGTTTGTAGGGACCCTGAGATGGAAGGTGCTACAGGCTGCAAGGCTGTATATTTAGGACACCGATCTAATTTATATTTTTAAAAACAATAATTGTCATGCATCCAGAGCTGTGAATAGTGCATTTTTAAATAAAGAAGTGCCAGATGTTAGTATTTCATATTCATTCTCCATTCCTGCCGAGAAATTTTCTCTGAATTGCTTACTTGCTAGTCATCTCTTCAACTTCAGCACTTATTGACTTCAAATTCTGTGGTAACTGTTGCCTCTGTCAGTTTCTTCCTTCTTTGTCTCACGTGATCTTTCCAGTAAGTGTTTTCTTTAATTCCCATTTTTCCTACATGCAAAAGAATTAACTCTTGATTATTTCTTCTTAATAATTATAACTTCCTCCATGCCCTTCTCTACAAAGTACCTGTTATGTTATCCCAGAATGGGTTATTATAAGCACGAGTTTATAGACAGCTGGGACTAGATTAGACTTGCCAGAGAGAATTGCAACGCTTTCTCTCAGAGGTCTTTATATGTTAGGATTTTCAGATCCATAATTTCCAGTGAGTGCAACTGTACAAGGGGCTAGAAAGTGGCCAAAATTCCTGAGTCTTGGTTACATTATAGTCAAGGCCCCAGGTACTCCACTTCAAGCTAGGGATGTTAGAGTATAGCTGAATAATGATGCTAATTGGTTAATGGTATTGGTTACACTCAGCAGGGAGGCGGCTCGCTATGACAGGATAGCAAAGCCCCCTCCCCTGGAGCCAGGCAGGCAAAAGCTGCCTGCTCTGCTCCCTGGGAGGAGGCTTCACTACAGCAGGGACCCTGCTCCTGGGGAGGCTTCACTGCTTACATAAGCTTTATACCGTAGAGCCCACAGTGTGTAACTGTTTAACCACTGAGATTTTCAGCAGTTATATGGTTATATTTAACCCAATTTTAACATCCCTACTTCAAGCTAGCCCTAAGTTCTGTTGCAAAGGAGTCTGCAAAACACTTGCTGAAGACACTAGCAAGTTTTGCCACAGCCTCAGATGAGTTATTTTTAAAACAGTTTTACTGAATGAAATATGAAATGAGTAATACAGTCAGTACAATAACACTTTGCTATTTATTTTGATATAATATTTGATTTCATGTATAGTGTCCCTTCATTTTCGAGTACTATTAGCCAAAGACGATCATCTTTAGGATTCAGAATTAACCATCCCTTAAGATGGATGGGGATGTTTACTCCTTTGGCTACTTTTTCAGACTGTCTGCAACCTCAGAGAGGCTTTGTTGTTTACACTCAATTTACCTTTTCATAGTTATCTCTGCAACCATTAGGTCTAGAAACCTATTTTTGCTTTTAAATGAAAGTTGAGATTCTGAAACAATTCTGAAGAAAATTAGTTTTCCAGCAAAATACTCTTATTTAAGTAGTATTGATTTATTTAGATTTCCACACTTAGGCTATGACTACACAGCAGCATTATTTTGGAATAACTGATGTTATTCCAAAATAACGTAGTCCACATCTACACAGCAAGTAGTTATTTTGACATAATGTTGAAATAATGTCAAGCTGGAGGACTTCTTCCTCCAACTCCTGTAACACTTATTTTACAAGAAGTAAGGGAAGTCGGAGGAAGAGTGTTCTACCTCAAACTTCCTGCTGTGTAGACAGTGCCAAAAGCCAAAATAAGCTATTTTGACTTAAACTACGCAATTGACATAGCTCAAGTTGTGTAGCTTATTTCGGTTTTAGCCCTGCTGTGTAGACGTGCCCCTATTTCATGAAAAAGAGTACCTATGCTTTGCTGTATTTTCAGCATCCTCCAACCCTCTAAAATAAAAAAATCTCATGTTGCCACAAAGGCTACAAGTAATGAGGTGGAGTTTAACAGGTGGCAACGGTTATTTCACATATGACAGTATCTCAGTTGAGTCTAACATTCAAAAAGTATAACAGAACCATCAAAATACTAATGTGCCTTCCTGGTTAACAGCATTATTGTCAGGCTTATGCTTTTTCTCCCTTTTCCCCAGTGTGACCTGTGGCTGCATGCTGTTAAATCAAGACTGTGTGCTCTCCAGGCAGGAATCATCAATGAAATGCTGGGCCAAATGAAATTAATGAAAAAATTTGTGTAATTTTTATGGAGCCATGATTTTACTCCATGTCCATTGCTTGTTTTCTGAAATCTTTGGGTGCATCAAAAATATAAATACGTTCTGCTATGTTGAAGTTAGCATTTCTCTAAATGTTTTTTAACAAATTATATAGCTATTAGCTTTACATGTGATTTCTACCCAGATTATGCAAGGTCAAGATATTTAGCGAAATACTCTCTGCTGGTGTAACTCCACTGAGGCCAGTGAGAATTTAGCCCTTGGCTATATAGATTTTGTCAACTTGGAATCCATCATCACAAAGTATTTGATGCCTTACTGGTGGGGCTCCTCAAACAGTAATCTCTATTCAGATCCAGACATGCCACTTTGTCAGGTCTCCATTCACTCCTATAGAAGCCTTGCTATTGCCCAACTACTATCGACCTCTACAGAAACGGTTTAGAATGTTTGGATTCCAAAACGGGAGAAGTCAGTCTTTTCCCCCGCCCCCCTTAAGATACAATTTGTTGCTAATTGCTATAGTGGTTAACATATTAAATCAAAGACCGGGGCATCTACTGCTGTTCAGAATCAGAATTTTATAAGAATCAAGTCTGGGAATCTTTGGTATGTGTTATTCACGAAGAACAAGACACACAGAATGACCTTCCATGATAAGGGGGAAAATAAGCTAGCACTTTGATCATTTATACAAAACCCTAAGTATGTATCTTCTAGCGAATGTTTTGCACTGGCTCCTGAGGAATGGGCTAGGTGCCTTAATAGAGCTTTTCTAACTCTCCCCTCTACTACACATTTGTGTCACCTACAGTTTGCTTGCAACGTCATAAAAGTAGAATTGATGTTTTACCACTAAGGGTAGGAACTCATGATATTTTTTCTAATAAAGGAATATACAATTTCCAAAGTGTATTAAAGGATGATGTCATGTTAGAGTGGAACTGGTATTAGCTGGGTTTTTTTTTAATTCCTCCTTCAATGCAAGAGAAATGTGAAAATGAACAGACATCAAACAAATCAGTTTTCTTCCTCACTAATAACCATTAGTTCAACACATGAAGTTGGGAGCTCTACATTGTGTCTGCTTTTGTGTATACTATTGTTATTTTTACTTAGAAATGGTGTTTGTATAAAAATCTGGTTCTGGAAACTGAACTGTTATATTGGTGCATTACTGTCCAATAGAGAGACCTTTTTCTGGCACTTAATGAATGACTAGAGGAATCAAGGGCCCCTAAAACAGGTGGTCATTAATTGCCAGAAAATATCAGACCCAAAATAATTATTTATTGGTCTTAAGTGTCCAACCTGAAGGCCATTATATAAAGGAAAAAATAATGTAATTACCTTTTTATGCACTGAAAAGTTAAAAGTTGAATTACATGTTGCCATAGATACAGCATTCTATTCACATACTGTATCGGACACTTCCTAGCAACCAAAGCAGATAGATGACCCAACAGAAAGCAGGACTTCACTTAATGTTCCACTGCAATTTTGTTTACTCATGAGCTAATGGTGAAGGCAAGCATATTGCAAACAAACTCCTCACTCTGCTTTCAAAGGCTTTGTCCCCGGGGCTTGGAGGAAATCATTTTCACATGGACTAGGTTTGAACCCTGGGGTTCAAGTTTAGAAGGATTCTTGTTTTAGAAGATGTTCTATCTAGAAGCATCTCCTAGAAATTCTGAAAACCCTCTTAATTTGGGTTCTCTATAAAGCAACATATGGCATTTATTGGTCTGCGCAGTCAAACACTGTAATCAAAAAAACTGGTCAAAGTAGGGATGTAAAATCCCATTTAAAATGTGAACCTGTTAAACTATATGTTTAACTGATTAACTGGCCCATTGCAGCATGCAGCGGTAGGCCTGGCTGGGCTGGAGCAGGAAGGCAGGGAACTAAATACTTTCCAGGCTTGGCATCAGTTAACAGATTACCTATAAGCAGTATTCAGTAAGGGTGATGCTTACCAGGTAACCAATTACCCTCTCACATCCCTAGCTCAAAGGACAGTGTCTTTAATGAACTTACTGATTTTTGAAAGGCCAGTGTTAAAGGTTTTACATCGTGCATCCACTGAAATGGCTTAACCAAGATGCCCCAGCCATTTGTCCTGATATGGAATAATCACCATTTAATAGAATGCCCTATTTTGATAGTGATGCCTAGGGAATTGCAGAGCTTCTACAAGTCTGTCATCCAAATAGACAGCTCCATGAATTTTAGAGGAAGTAGTGTCTGCACTGGGATAAGGGTGGAGCTTGTCGCTTGCCCACCACTGATAATGGGGTAGTTGTCAGAATCCTGGAATCTGCACCAACCAGTAGTGAAGTATTTCATATACTTTCTGCATGCATGACAGCTAAACACGGACTGAAAGCAGCTAGAGGAGCAGACAGAACGAACATAATAGTGAGACATGTAGAGAAGGAAATAATATTGCTAAATCATCATAAGGTATGTATATCCATTATGCCCTCATTGACAACATATTCACTACGCATCATTATTAGGCTTAAACTGGTTCTTTGGGTTATGTTTTGATTGAGACCATTACCTGATAAAGCATTTGCCTGATTAAGTGAACTACACTACATTAAAAATTGACACCTTCTGTTTTCTCTAAGAAATAAAATAATGACTCAACTGCATTACAATGCATAAATAAACTAACTAACTAACAAACACATAAATGAATAAATAAAATGCTTGAAGCTCTCCTTGAAATTCATACACCTTCTGACATTTTCTCCAGGTCAGAGACACTGCATGCAAAAACCTGTCTGCCTGTTTATGTTCTGCCATTCAGTCAGTGAGGCAAAAAAAAGCTGGAATCAATCCCTGACTTGGGATAATTGCTCAGCAAATGGGACACACATAATCCATTTTCATTATTAATACTTCAGTTAGGAGTCAGGTACTGTATTTTATTTCTTATAATGAGCACCGCGTTGCAACAGATTTGTAGCGTTTGCAGTACATAACATCACTGACATCTGTAGAATTCCTGTCACGTTTACCAGAGCAGGATTAAATATAAGTACATTGCTGTAAGAGAGTGGGTATAGAAGTATAATATTACAATATATTCCTATTTTCCTCTATATGCTATTACACCACAGATATTGCCTATAACTCAGTTTCTCTATTAATTTTTCCGGTGGCTATATCTGTTTCTGTTTTATTACCAATGAATGCATCTTTATTCTTTCTGTTGTGTGACACCCCTGTCAGTTACAGAAGGTGTCTGTACTGTCAGCCCCCACTGGTGACTGCTCTCAAGGTCCTCCTGCACCCTTCTTCCCGATCCCATTGATTTGACAAAGCCTGTTCTAATACCTTGGCACACACTGTAATGGTGAAGTGTTGGGCTTAGCAGGGGATGAAATGAGCATCTTAAATCCTTCCGTACACTGTAGCACAAGAAAATCTTAGCTTCTGTACTATTCAGAAGCAACTTGGCTGATCCATGGAAGTCATGATTTGCCTTGCTCCCTAGGTGTATCCTGCAGGAGAGCAACTCAGGGATGAAAGTGCAATTTAAACAAATCTCTCCACCCTCGCCATAGTTTACATTCAGACTTTGAAGCACACAAAGAAGCTAAACTTCCCGATTTATTAATTTCATAATTGGCACACATCTCCTGACTGCTGACTTGCAGTTGACTAGGAACTGTCCTCATAAATACTTTCCAGATACATGTTTTAAGCTGCTGATCTGCCTTTGGTCCGGAGAGCATTGCATCCTTGGTAGGGTGCCTTGGAGACTGGATTTGAAACCTTTAACCTTAGGAATATTGGTCTGCATTCAACTCTATCAATAATGATAAGGTATTTCAATCTGAGGTGGTCTGTGTGAAATGAGTGTTGGGCGCACTAAGCTCCTGGTAGATAGGTCTCCTCCATCCAAAAATCATCATAAAAACTAGCATTTATTTGGCACTCTCAGCTGGTAGGACAAGAATTGAATAGCCTAGGATGCTCAACTACCTCTCTCATATCTAGGGTGGCCCTTTCAGGTCAGGACTGGGACTTGTGTAGGGTAGCATTAAGAAAGTGATTCTGCTGAGCCTGTGGTGAATGTATTCAGTGGATTGACACTCATGTTCTTTTCACATGCACAAACAAATCCTGTGCAATGCAATTGGGAAAGCAAAATGAAATAATGAGAGAAAACTCATTATACCCTGATCCAAAGTATGTTGTAAAGCTCCCTGTAAATTTCTGGATGAGAGTTGTTGCTGATAAGCCTCACAACACTATATACTTAAGTTATACTGATCTTAAATGGAACATTATTGGACATGTTCCACAAATTCCATGTGAAAAAGTCCCAATGGCTAACATTAAAATATTTCCATTAGTCCAGGTGTATTGATGAGGCTCAGAACCAGAGCTCCCTCACTGAAGCTGGAAGACATTTGCCTCCCCTGAATTAGTTTTAAGCTCTATGCTAATCACCAGAGCCCTCTCAATGGAAATGAGGACACTCCACATTTCTAAATTGCAGAGCCCGTGCAGGGATAGAAGAACGGCACAAAACTGGATTTTAACTATACAGAGCTCTAGAAAGTACAAAGGGCACTTATTTAAATCCAAGTACTTTCCGACCAGCTTGGTACAAAAAGAAAACAGGATGACCATGGGATTATTGTTCTCTCATGGTAGGGAAACCAGCTTTGTCTCCACTAACCTGCTGTTCATTAGCAAAACCTGGCATCCTGATCCAGCCACTCTCAAGCAATGGGCTTTTCATAATGAGAAACAATAATATAAGAAAGAGCTCATATAAAAACATGTTTCCTTCACCATGTGAAAAAAAAGGGAGGGAAAAGCGTTTCGCAGTTGAATTAAATCATCTGTAACATCAGCAAGACACTTATCTTATAAGATGCATTAGAGTCTATATTATGTTGGGGGTCTTTGCTAGCAGCATTCACAAACAGGAAGCAAAAGGGTAACATATGAATTAGTTGAAAAAGTTAATTTAGGAGTATATGTTAAAATTTGCTGTGATCCTAAATTCTTAGAAGACTGCATGTTCAGTCTCCCATTTTTGGATGGTCTAGCCTACCTCCCTATTTGGCACATGCCTCCCTCTTCACCAGCAGATGCAGAAGAGGGTGGCACAATTGTACTTCCTGCTCTTCATCCCATTGAGGGGATATGCAAGAGTAGTGCCTGTGCTCAGATATCTACAGGGTACAGCTAATGTGCCTGAGCTTTGAACACAGGGGGAAACAGTCTCTCCTCTATACACAAACATGTGAGTGTACACTCAATGGCCAGGAACAATCTTGGTGGAAGATGAAGAGTGCAAACTGCCAGTAAATTTCTTCATTAAAAGGTGTTCTCTGTGCTGCAATGTTCTGGTGTGTTGGCTTCCTCTCTTTCTCTCTCTCTCTCTCTGATGATCATTACAGAAACCCTCCAGTCATAGCTGAGGCAACAAAAGGAAAACAGCAAGAAGATTTCACTGCACAATGGTAGTCAGTGCAGTTCAAAGCATATTTTGCACACAAGGGCCAGGGTTATGTTTTTACTAGAGTGATGTCTGTAGAGGAGCAGAGAAGGGACAAATCAGGTGCTTTATCCAGACAGACCCAAGAGTTTGGATCTGTGGTTTTCTGTGATTCCGTGAAAGCAGGAGCAGCCAGTACATCTCTGCGTTTTGCAAATCTCTTGGTTCTGTCTTGACTGCCCAGTAGGATAAAGATTTTCAAATTCAGTAAGTCAACAGGGAGTTTGTACTAGAGAGAGTCACCTTCTGCATAGAAAGTTAAGTAATTCAGGCAGTTCAGATGTCTTTATATAAAACAGAAACTGCTGCATGCTCGGTAGGCAGCCTATGGACCCTATTCACCATCTCTCCTACTCCAACCTCCAACAGTTAACTGGGACCAGTGAGCACCACCCTCAACTGGTTAACCTTTCACATCCCTTGTTGGGGTCTACTACAGACCATCTAACCAGGAAGAAGAGATGGAGGAGACTTTTTTAAACAACTAACAAGGTCATCCAAAGCACAGGACTTGGTGATTATGGAGGGACTTCAATCCATCCAGACATCTGTTGGGAAATAACACAGCAGGGCCCAGATTATCCAACATGTTTTTGAACTGAATTCAAGACAATTTTTTATTTCAGAAGGTTCAGAAAGCTACTGGGGGAGGCTAGTCTAGATTTGATATTAACAAATAAGAAGGGACAGGCTGAGAATCTGAAAGTGGAAGGCAGCTTAGGTGACAGTGATCATAAAATGATAAAGTTCATTATTCTAAAGAATGGTAGGAAAGCGAACAGCAAAATAAAGACGATGGAATTCAAGAAGGCAGAAATTTAGCAAACTCAGGCAGTTGGTAGGTTAGGACCCATGGGAATTAAGTATAGGATAAAGAACAATTGAAGACATTTGGCAGTGTTTCAAGGAAACATTAGTAAGGACGCAAGAGCAAACTATTTTACTGTGGAGGAAACATACGACCCCGGCTAAACCAGGAGATCCTGAATGATCTAAAAATCAAAAAGGAGTCCTACCAAAAGTAGAAGCTAGGTCAAATTACAAAGGATGAATATAAACAAATAACAGAAGTATGTAAGGGCAAAATTAGAAAGGCCAAAGCACAAGACAAGCTCCGATTAGCTAGAAAACATAACAAGCAAACATTCTACAAATACATTAGAAGCAAGAGGAAGACCAAGGACAGGATAGGGTTGAAGAGGGAAAAACAATAACAGAAAATATGGAAATGGCTGAGATGGTTAACAACTTCTTGGTTTAGGTTTTCACCAAAAGGTTGGTGGCGACTTGACACTTAACATAGGCTATATCTACACTACACTGTTCTTTTGGAAAAAGCTTTTCTCCACTTCTTTGTTCGGAAGAGGTTTTTCTGACATTTGGCCCATCTACACTGTCTCAAAAAAAAAAAAAAAAAAAAAAAAAAATGTCAGAAGAGCAGACACATTCCCCGGACATGGCAGAGTATTTCCAGGATGCATCCAGTACCTCGGAAAAACTCAGTAGTGTAGACATAGCCATAATGAATGTAAGTGAAAACAGGGTGGATTCAAAACCAAAAGAGGAAAAGAACAAGTTAAAAATTACTTACATAAGCTAGATGTCTTCAAGTCACCCAGGCCTTATGAAATGCATCCTAGAATACTCAAGGAGCTGATTGAGGCAACATTTTGGACATTAGCTTTTATCTTTGAAAAGTCATGTAACACAGACAGCATGGATTTGTGAAGAACAAATCATGTCAAACCAATCTGATAGCTTTCTTTGACAGCGTAACAAGTCTTGTGGATAAGGGAGAGGTGGTAAATGTGGTATATCTAGATTTCAGAAAGGCATTTGATATAGTCTCACGTGACTTTCTCATTAACAAATTAGGGAACTACAACCTAGATGGATCTACTAAAAGGTCGGTACATAGTTTGTTGGATAATCATTCCCAGAGAGTAGTTATCAGTGATTCACAGTCCTGGTGGAAGAGGCAAAATGAGTGGGGCCCTACATGGATTAGATCTGAGGACTGGTTCAGTTCAACATCTTCATTAATGATTTAGACAATGGCACAGAGAGTACTCTTATAAAATTTGAGGATGACAACAAGGTGGGAAGGGCTGCAAGTGCTTTGGAGGATAGGATTATATTTCAATATGATCTGGACAAACTGGAGAAATTGCCTTCGGTAAATAGGATGAAGTTCAATAAGGAGAAAGGCAAAGTAATCCACTTAGTAAGCAACAATCAGTTTTATACATACAAGATGGGAATTAACTACCTAGGAAGAAGTACTGCAGAAAGGGATCTAGGAGTCTCAAACTAAATATGAGTCAACAGTGTGACACAGTTGCAAAAGAAGCAAGCATCATTCTGGGATTTATTAACCGGAGTATTGTAAGCAAGGCACAAGAAGTAATTCTTCTGCTCTACTCTGTGCAGATCAGGCCTCAACTGGAGTTGTGTGTCTAGTTCTGGGCACCATGTTTCAGGAAAGATGTGGACAAATTGGAAACGGTCCAGAGAAGAGCAACAAAAAGGATTAAATGTCTAGAAAACATGACCTACAAGGGAAAGCTGAAAGAACTGGGTTTGTTTAGTCTGGAAAAGAAAAGACTGAGAGGCAACATTATAACAGATTTCAAGTACCTAAAAGGTTTATACAAGGAGGAGAGAGAAAAATTATTCTCCTTAACATCTGATGATAGGACAAGAAGCAATTGGCTTAAATTGCAGAAAGGAAGGTGTACGTTGGACATTAGGAAAAACTTCCTACCTGTCAGGGTGGTTAAACATGGGAACAAATTGCCTAGGTAAGTTGTGGAATCTCCGTCATTGGAGAATTTTAAGAGCAGGTTAGACAGACACCTGTGAGGGATGGGTCTAGATGGTGTGTTGCCCTGCCATGAGGGAAGGGGACTGTACTTGACCTCTCGAGGTTCCTTCCAGTTCTATTATACTATGATTCTATGATTCTATATAGATTGTAAGTTCTTTCGGGCAGGGACTAGCTCTGTTTGGTGCCTAAAGTTTCCTATCAACATCATGATCCTCTACGTTAGGTACTGGATTAATAAAGTAAAACAAATGAATAAACAAGTAATTTAAAATAACAGTCTGAAGAACAATAGTATTCCAGAGAGTTTTCTGATGTTGACTAGTTACTGAATTTCAGAATAAGGCTCTTTCAGCTACAGCTACAGTACAATATGGGCTAGAATTTCCAGAGACAAAGGATAGATTTTAAAGTGTGCAGCACCCACAAATGGGCCAGACCGTGAGAGTTCAGTTCCCATTTAGACACCTAAATAAGAGCCAGATTTTTACAATTGCTCAGCACTCAGTGACTCCCATTATGATATTTATAGCCGGATTTTAAAATACAGTTCAGCACCCAAAGAGCTGAGCACTTTTAAAATTTGGCCACTTATTTAGGTGTCTAAATGGAAAGTGAGTTCTTGTGAAAATCTGGCCTTAAGTGTCCTATTACATCAGGTCATTAGTTTTAGTGACTCCAGCTGCACTGAGAGTATTACACTCCTGTCTTTTACACAGTCCCCCGCCCAGAGTTTTGATATGATTCGGATGCTGTGTTATCAGATTAATTTTGATTATATGTTCATGGAATGTAGAGAGATATGCTTAGTCTAGGTTGTTGCACAGCAAGCTGCCCCACTCTGTACTGCCAATTTATCATTACAAACTGTCCTGCAAGATCCAGCAGTCTGCGTTAGACTTCCAGTCATTCTGACTTATGTCAAATGTTGCAAACAGCAGCTAAGACCATGTTGAGACCTCCAAACTCATTGTCACATGTGATGA